AAAATCACTAGTTAGCTTGAACTACCTAAAACATTTTTAAAAATTTTTATATTTTTCTCATTGAACCATCTCATTAAACTATTAACGATATTCAGAAAATCTATCGAAAATCTATTTATAAATATTAAGTTTTTTCCAAGCAGGTCCTTGGGCAACCAAGAAAAATTGAAATAATCCCACCTTTTAGGATTTTGTTTTGTCAGGCTATTTACCAGAGATTTTATATGCGAGAATTTATTGAATCTTCTCTTCTGTTTTCAAATCTAGCCTGAATTCTTAATCCAGATAAAGTTGTGGTGTTTCAACTCTAAAAATGCACCTTACTCTAATGCTTCCTTGAAATGAGGACAAGTGAAAACAAAGACAGCCTATTTATGATGGGTATTAACTCGATTTCGTTTAAGGTGATAAATGACATGAATAGAGCTGACGTTTCCATTAAATTTCACATAGACTTGCTTTCCCATAAGGTGTTCTCATCCAGGATGGACAGTAGTTCCGACCTCGCTTAGGTCTTATCAACACCACAATTATATGAGCAGGCATTAAGTTTTCATTAAATTTAACATGGACTTAATGAGTTAAGATCATATACTGAACTACCAGGGTTCGAGTCCCGATGGGCGTGCTGATGCTACCTAGGTGTGCTCTAAACTGCAGTTCACTCCAACCTAAATGAGAATACTTTTTCGGAAACGAGGCTAAATCAAATTCAATGGATACGTAAGACCTGCTCATAACATAATGAAAAAAATTCATCTGCCATTACTTCATCACCTTGAATGAAATAATTTGAATATATCTCATATATATGATCTAATTGTGACCTCAAAAACCTAATTATTGACAAAAAATAAGAACGATCTATCTTGATCAAGTTCACTTGTATATTGCCCTATGACGAATTCAGTATCAAACCAAAAAATGTGATGTAACACTAGAAGCTTCTTTTATATTATGTAATATAAGTTAATAGATCTTGCATTATATAAAGGGTGTTTATCTCATGCCTTTATATCATTGTCTTATGATCCTTCTTAATTACCTCCTATTGAGTTGCTTATGTGTGTAACTTGCTCGTAAAAAGTATCAATTCTCTAATCAATTGTTTACTCAAAGTTCCCAGGACGGGGTAGAAAAAGCTATAATAGGTTAAATATATAGAAGTTGTTTGACCTTGTTTTCGCAACTTGGTCATATTGGTAGGAAGACTTATAGGAACGCACTTT